GGAAATTATGCAAAGTAATGATACGTATCCCATTTAGGAATCGTAATTGTGCTACATAAACTCCTATTATTTAGGATCCTACCGAAACAAAATCCCAATTTATTTTGAACTGTTATAACTTTTTGATTTATACTCTGATTGTTATAAAAACTATATCAAAATTCATAATTTTTAATTATCTTTCAAATGACATCAATATTGATATATAAACCTAAAAAGTAATTTAACACTTTAGAAACATAAGTTCTTTAAAGTTATATAGCCTTTTTATTTGTACTATGATTGTTACAAAAAATATACCTAAATCGTGACTTTTTTTTCAACACTTTTAGAAAAATGAGTTTATGTGGTTGATATTGAATTGATAAAGTAAGAATAAAGTAAAAATGATTTAAAGCCACATAAACTTTACTGAATTTGGTATGAGACAATCTTAGTGGATTTCCCGAAAAGCAAAAATGAGACAATCTTAACAGGACAAATGAAATATAATATTTTTATTTGTACTCTGACGGTTACAAAAAAACATATCATAATTCATAACTTTTTATTATCTTTCATATGTCATTAATGTTGCATATATAAAATTAAAAAAAAAAATAGTTCAATTCATTTGTGCAGTTTAGATCATTTTTTTACCGTACACACTATTAAGGATATTTTCTTTTGGACTGAAATTTGCTGGTCTGGTCTGGAAAACGTCTGGTCTCTGTGTATTTTATAACTACGGAAGTCAAGTCTGGTCTGGTCTGGTCTGATTTGGTCTGGTCTGGGACTGAAAATAGTCCAAAAGAAAACATCCTAATTTGAATATCTCTAACTTTTAAGGAGTGTAAAGTAAGTACCCCAAATTATATTGGCACCATTATCACATAATTTTTCACACATGTAATTTTACAGTGTTAATTACATAATTTAAATACACAAAATACTTATGAGAATGTAATTAAAATTATATTGAACCGGATGTGATATTATTTATTTTACAAATGAATTTTGTTATTGTTAATTGCATCCAAAAATAAATTAGAGTATTTTAAATTATGTACTTATTGCAATAAAAATATATTTTTAAAAATCATATAATCATGGTGAAAAATAAATTTTTATATAGAATTTGGGTTATATATATTGCATATGCAAATTTGGGGTATTTTCTCACACATCCAAAATTTGAGATAGTTATTATTTCCCCCTTAATTCAGAGTGATAGCTTAAAATAAAATTGCACAAACTCCATCACTTTTATTTATTGTTTTAATTGGACCGGTATCAATTTTATAACAGAATAAAAAAGACAAATCAAATTAGATTAAACCAGGTCAGAATTGGACAGTTGCAAAGTACACATATAACAAACATGTATCAAATTAGTTCGGGTCAAATCAGACTAACTCATACTTAAACATATCAGATCAGATAGATTAGACCCGAATATTTCAATCAAATTGGCATGTGAAAATAGATATTCTCTTAAACATAGATTAAAACAATTGTACTCATATACAATTTCACTGCTTATAGAAATTTTAGACTCTTACTAATAGAATTGTTACTCAAACACAAATTAACACGATCTCACTACTCTTTTTATACACAATTTTTCTAAATCCAAGGTTACACCTTTATCATTATATTATTCCATATGAATTCTTCTCCCCACTTTTCAAACTCATTTCATCATGCCATTTTGGCAAAATCTCTTTCATGTATTAACACCCATTAAAGAGAGCTACACAACTATTGTTAAAATCATTACTCTATGATTTTTCACTGCTAAATTACTTTATAATCATGGTTTGATAAAATAATCAAAATCATGATTCACTAAGAACTTAAAAAATCAAAATACTAACTGCAGTATATAACAAATCTCCATTTAATACTTTTTCAATGCCTCTTTTTAGCCATTAAACTTCAGGCATACCTTTCTTGGTAAATGTTAAATATTTAAATATGTTAAAATAAAAGTTTAACTATTTAACCAAGTAGATATAGTTCATCTCAAACTGTTAAATTTAGTTTAGAATCAAAACTTATAAATTGAAATAAATATTAAACTAAATCACTTCTTTTCATAATAAAAAATTAAATTGAAATGATTATACTAAATCTAAATAAAGTTTATTTAATTGGGATTTCAACCATTATAATTGTTTTACAAGGGTAATCAATACTCCTTATTCTTTCAATAATTATTTCATTGAAATCTTCTTCTCCCTAGATATATGCTTCCACCTTTTTTAGAATAGTTAGGATGTTTTAAATTGGATTAGTTTCAATCTCAGACCAGGCCAGACTTGAACATACTAGATCAAACCATGCTAGCCTTTTGACAGTTGTAAAATACTTATAAAACAAATATGTACCAGAGTAGACCCATTCAGATCAAATCAGATCAGAAAATTTTAGGCCAATTAAAAACACCTTACACGAGATTGACATGTCAAAACATAATATTAATATAACATAGATTAACACAATTTTACTCAAACACATATTTACTAGGCTCTTTTACACAATTCCACTCAAACAAAAATTATGAAATTAACTAAATTTTACTAGACTCATACACAATTAATAATCAATTGTAATTATTAGAGACAATTCTCGAAATAGGAATAAAATGTTTGAGAATTTTAAAATATGATAAATATGTTTTTACTCCCTGAATAGGAGTAATTACTCCCATATTTGGAAAATACTGCCATATCAAAGTCTGGTACAACCAAAACACGACAGTAATTTAATAATTTCTTTTAATTTTTACGAGCTCACTTGGAATTAATAAATACTTTGTACTATTTAAGGTACAACAAGTTAATAACTATTTAAACGTTTTTGCACTCTTTATTTTATAATTAAAAGAGAATTTTTAACTAATTATCTAAAAATTATTCAGTCTATATTTTCTAATGAAAATACCATTTTTATAACTCTCAATCGCATCTAAATGAAATTAATATGTTCAACTATCTTTACCTAAAGAAAAAAAGAAAATGCTCAATCCCTATTTTTATCCATTAAATTTTATCCAACGTGTATTTTTTTGAAAACTAAATACACACTTTTGTAAATTATTTATCTAAAAATAGGTATAATCAACAAAATGATCAATGCATATTTTTAACCATTGAATTTTATCTGTGGCCTTTTGTTTTTTTTTTTCAAAACTAACTGCACACTTTTGTAATTTATTTATTGAAAAATGGGTGTAGTCATCTTTTTTGAAGATATTAGTCGTTATTTTCTTAACCGATAATTCAACTATATTTTGAAAAATAATTTTGATGAGTATACAATATAATAGAGCCATTGAATATAATTGTGGTTGTTAAAGATGTATTGCTTTTACTATTTGATTTATTAAATCATCATTAAAAGTGATAAGTATTTCCTAAAATAAAAATGAGAACCTTTAGTAGGATCACCAAAAAATGAAATTGAGAATCTTTAGTTGAGACGGAGTGAGTAGTAGCTTTCAAAGTCTAATAATAAACTTAAGTTTACTTATACTATTATTGCATTCAATAGTCGATTTAGGTTCGTGTAATGACACTTCATTGCCTTAAAATGAAGATGTTGGGGATTTCGTAAGGTTGGCGTGATAAACTATTTCAAGCAAGTTATTTTTGGTTGTCCCCAAAAAATGCTAATTTCATTTTAATCAATAAATTTATGGTTCCTATTACTTCTTCCTCGTGTTCACAAATCTCAATTACACGGTTTTTACATAATTACTCCACATGATGGACAACTTGAAAAGATTTTAATGTACAGAGGGAGTAATTTTTAAAGACTTCAAATAAGTCATTAAATTTGGGTTGTTGTTTTAGCGCAAATAACATTCGAGTACCATTTGGAATACCCTTTATGTTTCTCTAACCATCTCGGCAATAGGAGTTCTAGAGGGCATTGGCTTAGTGGGAAATCCTGACTTTGTCCTTGTGGGAAATGTAAGCGTACATTGCATGAGTAGTACAAATACTTCAAATTTCAATGTACTATATAACGTTTTTCATGAGCCCATAGTAATGTTATGTAGTATATTTTACACAAGTACTTGATTTTATGACTGTTAAATTAGATATCGAAATCTATTTGCATAAACCATGCTATTTAGATGTCATGGAGGAGAAGTTGCGGCACCTTAAGGATATTTTGAATTGGATTCAATTTTTTGATCTAATCTATGAAAGTGAAAGTTATTTTTAACTTTTAGTATCATGATATAATACTAAAAGTGGTGTTTAAGAGTTAGATAAATAAGCTAGAAATGGTAATCTATTACTTATTGATGTAACTTTAATATAGTACGATTTGGTCATAAAATTGGGATCATATTTCATTTCTAAATATGGTGCATCTTTATTTGTTATTTTTTATTGCATAGTTTTACCTGTTTATGTTTCGGTTATTACCTATCACTTGGCGTGAGAATTTTTATAGATTCAATTCAGCTGACCTTTTAGGTAAAAATTGCCTATTAAGATTCTAAATCATTTGCAACCTTTCTCTATTCAAAAACACTTATTTTAAATCAATCTAATGAAAAATAAATCGACCGCTAACAATCCCTTTATCCAGCTGGTCTGTCGTTGCTGCCATCACATTCATTAAAATCAGAATGCCACAAAACTATATATTCTAAAAGAAGAAGTTCAATTGAACGCAACAAGAGTTATTAAAAATCAGCTCTTTTAATCGAAATATATAGACTGGCAACATGTTTAGATAATTATTAAAAAATAAGACATACTCAATAAATAAGAATATACATTATCAATCAATGTTATAATCGACTAAGTAAGTGATTTTTCGTTAGTTGTAATAACTCATACACTAAAATAAAATCATTTTATCCCGTGCACGGCACGGGTAAAGATACTAGTCTTTATACAATTTTTTCATGTCCATTCTCAATTCTGAGGCAAACTTGTGGCAAAAATAAACGAAAGAATCACATGTGGCAAAAATAAACGAAAGGATCACATGTGGCTGTGAGTAAGAAACTATAATCAAATGTATAATAAAAGTAGATTTTTTTTTAAAAAAAGATCAGCTGTAAATTACTAGTTTTATCTACGCGGGGTCATGCTGCAGGCAACATCTTAAATGGAGATTACACAGTAAAATGTGTAGAGTTTGAACGAATAAACATCCAAAACACAGTTTCACGAAACAGGAAAATAGCAAGAATAAAAAAAACCGAGAACAAGTACAAATTTCAGCTCTAAATACATTCCTTTGGAGGGAGGTCCAATCTGTTGAGATACAAAGATCAAAATGGATTTTGCCTCACAAGTATTTACCGAGATGGTACATGGCATTCCTTAACAGCAATCCAGGAAAAATCAGTAATATTGCTTCCGAGGATTGTTCTGTAACAAAAAAATAAAGACAATTAGCAGTGACGGTAAAATGTAATTTCGTGTCTTGATAAATATTACTCCGTACAGTATTACCAAAGGATTAGGCCGGTGCCGATAGCCGAGCATCATCCGCTTCTTGTACTGCTCATAAATGTCATCCTCTGGTGTGACTTCCCCAGGATTATGAGCACCAACACCAAGGTTGTTGGACTTCACCTCACCTGCCGTTATCGGATCTGCAATCCCACTTCTAGAACTTCCCAGACCTTCACCTGTACATGACCATGGGTTGTGATCAGAATGAATGATATCCTCAATACAAATAATATTTCTACCTCATCTTTATATACTCTTTAGTTTGTTAAAAAAAACATTTTGTAAATGTAAGGATAATGCAACCTCCGAACCAAAACTTGCAACAAAAAAGTACTAGTATAACTGATCCATAACCTGATAGGTTCTGTCCATCAAGTGGACCTAAATATCTAAGAACTATCACGGATCAGATATACCCAATCCATGACCTTAATTAAAAACGTTAATATCATATATTATACTGTATTACCTTTTAAATCTCTAACATGCTACTGCTGTGGTGGATAAATGTACAAGTTTGCAGGGATTGTTGATGAATTTGATGATTTTTATATGATAGGATTCTTATGATTTGTAATTCTGTATTCCTAAACATATTTTGTTTAAAGCCAGGTTGGGAATATTAAACGTATGCAAGATTTTTTTCCTCTAGCACAAGCAGTCAAATGTGTTTAAAAACACTTTAGTTTGGGAAATAAGTTTAAAAACACTTTCATGGGAAATATTTTTGATAGGCTTTAATAGCACACATAAATTATTAAAATTAGATGATATGTAATTGTTGGGCTGATGTGGATGAGTGATGTGGCATCCACAGTGAGAATCCGATGACATGGCAAAAAACTACCATAGTTTGGGAAATAAGTTTAAAAACACCTTAATTTGGGAAATAAGTTTGAAAAACACCTTTCCATGGGAAAAATCTTGCTCAAATCTTAAATGCAAAAAGAAAAAGAAAAAAAATACAGCCCAGAACTGACCCTAGCCCAGCCTGACCCGCCCCCCAACACGTTTCATATAGTTTAGTAGATTCAGCCATACCTTTTGAGCCCATTTTCATCCATACAACACGAGCTCTATTACTATTAATATTTAAGTGTAAAAAAATATACTACGTAATAGTTACCTTCCTTCCATCCCATTTTAGCGAGAAGTTTGTGACCAATATTATCAGCCTGGATTTTGGAGCGATCAGCAAGCTCCTTGGCAACTTTCTGCGCGCCCACATCGTTGCACGTTGCCAAGAACTTGGCAAGCTCCTCAGGCGGTATATAATCTCCCATGTGATGCCCTTTCTTTCCCGGAGCCGTGGATCCTATTGACCCAATATTCAACCAATGAGCAATTTCAACTACAAAGTAAGTGGAGGCAATGTAACTAAGATAAGAACCTAGTAGGGAAGGGGGTGGTGGCATCTCGTCCTTTGATGACTTTGGAGCCCTCAATTTCTCTTCATTGGCGGCCTTCTTCATGTAATACTCCATCATTGCTATTGGATCACCAGGTGTTGGTAGTGCTGCAGAAGTTCTGGTGGAAGAATCTGACGTTTCATACAAAGCTGATGCTGGGATTTGATAATTAGACTTATCTTGATATGACCTTCGGGAACTGCTGCCTCCTGAATTAGAAGTGGATGATCTTGTGCCACCTGTTCACATCAAGGAATAATACTACAACAGTTCAAATCATTTCAAGAACATATGTTTCTTTAGGAACATTTTCTTATATTTTTTCTAGATAATCAGCAAATTAAACCATTCAATCATTATAGCAAGTTAGCAACACTAATGGCAAGAGTTGTACAGGATAGTAGTTCACAAACCACTTTGAGGAGATTGAGGATCTCTGGATTTTGACAAAGCCTTTTCCTCTTCACCAAGCCGATATTCATAGTACTTATAATCTAGACAGCTTTCATCAAATAAGAACCTACAAGAGGCACACTAGTTTAGATCGTAGGCCTGTAAACATGGCACGTAAGGGAGTAATAAAAGATATTACCTCCGTCCCAAATTATTTTGCAAAGTCAACATTTTTTGTCAACCAATTTCATCATTTCATTTTCATTTACCCCAGTGCCGCAAAGGCTCCCACCTACGGTGGGGTAAGGGGGGGTCGGATGTACATTAATCCTCTTTATTGATAATTAATTCAATTTTAATCAGGGTTTTTGTCTTGAATATAACTCATAAAAGGGCAATAGGCAAAAAAGTGACCGTTTTTAAAAATTCCCGAAATGTGACTAATAAGTGACAGGCTTGCTTATATACACACTGCTATAGTGACACGCTACAGTGACACGAGACACAGTGACATCCACCCTACTTGCCACCACCTCCCACCGGTGATCACCGCCGCCGCCGGAGACCGTCGTCGGCCATAGTTACAACGCCACAGTGACAGTAGTGACAGCCACCCAACCTTTGACCACAGTCCCACAGTGATGCCGCCGCAGTGATGCCGCCGTAGTGATGACGCCGCAGTGACGCCGCCGCGGTGACATGCCAACTCCGGCAATAGTGACCCATCTAGCCTGCCGGAAAATTTTCCTTTCTAAGAAACTGCCGCCGTCGACTGGCGGTGCTCGAACAGCGACTCCGCCAGCCCCTCCCTGATCCACCAGACCCCCTCCCCATCCCACCAGCACCATCCCCAGCCCCCAGCCTCTCTGCACAATTGCAGCCCAACACCACACCACAACGTAGCCCTTCAACCAGCCCACCTCCGTGCCGCCGCCGCCGCCCCAGCTCCGGCCACCACCCCTACCTGTTACCCCCACCCTTGTCACTGTCCAAATAGCCCCAAGCCCCCAACAGCCCCTCCCTGCACCCACCAAAGCCCATCATGACCATACATCCCCCGGCCAAACCAAACCAACATCGTCCTTACGCCAACTCCTTGCCATCTGCCACTCCTCCAGGCCCCACCCTAGCCTAATTAGTTCCACAGAAGAATAGCTCCAGATCTGCTCTCAAATCCAACAGGATTTACGAAGCTACTCGCCAGATTTAAGAAGCTCGCCGCCACCGGTGGAGGATGAAGTTCGTCAACAGATTCACGAAGCTCACCGCCGCGACTGGAGGATGAAGTTTCCACCGAATCTATGAAGTTCGTTGCCGCCGATGGAGCAAGCAACGTTGGTTTGCAGACTAAAAGAAAAGAGGAGAGGAAGAGAGGAGTAGCCGTCAGTCTTCGTAGGTGCTGCCCCCGGCGATTGGATTTGAGAGCACCGGCGATTGGATTTGGGAGCAGAGAGCTGCTCGCCAAATGATTGGGATTTGGGGGAGACCGGTGGTTTTTTTAATTCTTAAGCTCACTTTTTTGTCCATATGAAATTCAATCATATTTTTTTCCATCTAAAGTCCATGAGTCATATTTGGGCCATTCTTTCTTTTAATAATTAAATTTACATATTCAGAAACTACATTACAATCTCCATAAAGTTGTGAAACCCAAATTAAAATTTAGTTACGAATTGATATCCTAAATTAAGTGGGAAAAAATGAATCCGTTTGGCCCAAAAAAGTCAACTTTGCAACTTAATTTAGGAGAGTGAGTATAACATAAAACAAAACAATACATAGGAAAAATTTATTAATATACCGACCCTGTAAATTTGGAGAACAGTAAAATACAATACTACTCCACGTCTCCACCACAAATGTCAGGTTTGGATTGAAGAACATTTAAGCATTACACTTATGAGACAAACCAGATATGTAAAGCAAAGAACATGAAGAGAAGATACATGTAATTCAGAGGAAGAAGAAGAAAGTGCAATCCCTGATTTAGTAACTCTTCTACACACTAATACTCAATTTAGTCCTCAACTTATTTAGGTGTCAATATGGTTATTTACAAAAATACATGCACCCAAATTTGACCATCATACAAATACAAATTTGCTATTAAATGACAGATATTGTTGTCAGTTCAGTAGCATGACCCAATTTAGAACTCATGTGGATCCCCAAATTATGTCATTTGAACACAGACTCTCAGATTTGTGTTCAAGTTACAAAAAAATCATTATTGTTCAGACGGAAATATGCATGCTGACCAAATTCTGTCTAAATTGCATAGTACATAGTACAAGACAAAATTAAGTCCAAAAGAATGTTGAGGACCAAGTTGGAGGTGCGTACTTAAAGGGAGTGTCACCGGGATTTTTTTGACGGGTAACATTTTCAAACTGCCTTCCATTCTTGGCCACAAAACTTGCCAATTTGTCTGCAACTTTCTTCACTGTCGGATCACTTGGTGGAGGAGGTGCTGCTACTGCATGTTACTTAAAGAACTGATTAATTACCATGAGCATGAATGAACAAGTGTATGTGTAAAATACACTTTGTAGCAGCGTGCCACACTTTATTTTTTCCAAATCTTTCATTGGACATCTCTTTTCCCACGAATGATGTCAGACTTAAGTTATAAGCTGCATTCATCAGACAAAATTCAAAGAATAATAATTCAAAAATGTTTTACCCTCTCCTATAACCATCACCCAAGAAATAGAAACGCCAACGAAAATACTCATATACCAATCCTCCAAATCTGTTTATCTCAATATGATAGTGAAGTCTGACTTAATACTTCATCTATCCCATAAAGTTCGGGGAAAGGAAAAGTGGCACACAAATTAAGGAAGTTGAATTGTATGGTGGACTGGCTGATACTAATATTCATAAAGGATTGGCGATTTTGAACATGATTGAAGCCATATATCGTATTAGTTAAAATTTTGGGACGGCCAAAATGGGAAGATGGGAAGAACGGGCTTTGTTTTTGGATTTGTCCCCAAATTATTGCTTATTTCCTTTAAAACAAATCAGCATTTGGTTCACAATATTTGTACAACTACAACAATATTTCTCTCCTAAAAACATCTCGACCACATTATTCTCTTTATTAAACTCCATGGGCAGTCAAAGTGGCAATAATTTGGGGGTGGAGGTAGTAATACTTTTCATTTTCAACATTAGCATATAACACAAAGCATTTTGGAAGGGACTTCTTATGATGCATACTAAATGAATGAGTATTGAACATTGTAATAATCTATCAAAAGTATAAAGTGTCTGCTACAAAATTCTAGACAACAATTTGTTTCAATTTCTGGGTATTAAAACTATAAAGAATCAAGAAACTGTCTTTCAAAAAACTGGCCTTTTACGTTGCATTAGTTATTAAGACTCATATCATTCTAAAGTAATTAGCTTATGCTATTAAAAACAATGGTTCTTTTCTGGAGTCAAAACTATTAAAATTCAAGAAATCCTTTGGAAAAAAGTCGCTCTTTGGATGATTTAGTTATTAGTTTATTACTACTCTAGTTACAATAGTTTAAGGTTAGGCTGAAGTGCGGAATTCCAGAAATTGAAAAGTTGTGGAAAGCCATTAGCCCATCAATAATGAAGAAAGATTCATCCCTCTCAATGGATGAGATAACATGGCTAAGATTCAAGTATTCATTAAAAAAATTATCATTACCAACAACAGATTGCTTAGATGATTGCACAGAAACAATGGGCTCATCCAGCTTTTGCCGTTTTACTGCCACACCTCCAGAAGGATTTGCGGCATCTTTTTCATCTTCATCCTCATCTTCATCCAGCTTAACAGGAGGTGTCACAATTTTAGACTTCTGTTTCAAGCTGAATGCAAGTTTTCCACCGGAACCAGAAGGGGTGGGTTTCCTAGGCTCATTCCCCTTTATTGTAAAGTTTGTTTTACTAATCACAATCTTTGGAGTTGAATTTCCGGACAGGTTTGAAGTTGCATTTGAAGCCTTTGATTCAATAGCAGTATTACCCTTCTCTTGCTCAAGCTGTTTAAACCTCTCCATGAACGAACCATCATTAACAAAGAGGCTAGGATCTTTTGCTTTCTCCATTGGCAAAACTACAGCTTTGATTTTCTGATCACCGTAAGATTCAACTGCTTGGCAGGCACTAAAAGGATATTTAGGGACAGAACCACATATCTTTTCGGAGAATCAAACTAATCCAAATTCCAAACCCCCCACAAAAAATAACAATAATAAAGAATTATAAACCTACTCCTTAAAACTAGAGATCAACCAAAAATATTTAAGGGCTATGATGCAGAGACACGCCAAACCTGGTGCGAAACCGAGAGTCAGACAAAAATGGCACGATTCGGAATAGCCGGGATGCAACGGGGGATACGCACAGGCTTCGTTGTGGTAGAAATTTTCCCCGGCGGTAACGAGACGATGATCAGTGGTTGTAGCCTGGATTAGATGTAAAGCAGACGGAATTGATGGAGGCGACGACAGGTATGCTCCACACTCGACACGGTGATCTGATGCTCAGATCTGCTTCGGACTTCGGGAAAGATTCTTGTTTTGCGATCTTCTAGGCAATAATGGGAAGGTGGCGACTAGGGTTGCTTTGGATTTCTTTCATCTCGACACCATCTGCATCCTAGTTCTAGTATGGGTATTCCTATGAATTTCCTGCAATTCCGAGTCCATGATAAAACCTATGTACCCTCTAATACCAGCCTTATACTCACCATGTTTATGAAGTGTTTTTTGTCTGTGAATCCGATTCACAGATAATATTTTGCACAAACAAAATATTGTTTGTGAACCAGGGTTCGTAGACAAAAAAAAACTCTACAAACGTAGATGGTACAAAAGTAGGTATAAGAGTGGGTACAAAAATCATTCTTGTAAAACTTACTCCATACTTTCAAATAGGGGTGGGAAAAACCGAACCGAAACCCGGAAACCGACCCTAGACTGACCCGAATTATGACCCCGATCCGGGTTTTTTCTTTTTAACCGGCCCGAATTAAAAATACCCGGACCGAACCCGAAATTTCGGTCTCATTAACGGGCCTTAAAATCTATAATCCGACCCGGACCGAAAAAACCCGAAACAATTAGCTTTAATATAAAATTAATATAATATATAAGTATAAATTTATAAATATTTCCTAATATATATGATTATAATCACGGTGAATAAAAAAATCATTTAGTAACTTTTACTCTTTTAGTGACTACAAATATGTTCAATTTGTTTAGCATAATGACCATGAAAAATAGATTTATAGGAACTCTATTCACATTTTTATCTATAAATTTTATTTCGAAATATTTTTAAGAAACATATATTATTTATTTATATGCATCTTAAATAAAATATTAAGATAATTATCTTCTTTGGATTTAAATGTTGGTGATTTTGAAGACTAATATTTGTGTTATTATTTGCGGTTTGTATTTTTCATTAATTTTATTTGAAAATAGGTGTTAAAATATAAAAGAACAATGAGATAGTTCACGTTCGGGCTTTAACCGGCCCAACCCGAACCCGGACCGAACCCGGGCTACCAAAAACCCGACTCGGACCGAATATGACGGACTTTGTTCCGGTCCCTAATTTTCATAACCCGAGACCTTCCGGGTAATTTCCGGGTTTAGCAAAAACCCGACCCAGACCGGACCGATTCCACCCCTACTTTCAAATGGGTTGGGCATGCAGTGTAAAATAGTGAGTATTGTGTCGTTGAGAGTTGTGCAGAAGAGAGAGAAATGTTTATGAAATGTTGTGAAGCACAAATTATTTATCAAAAAGGAAAAGTAGAAGTTTTAATTGGGACGAACGGAAAAAGAAAGTTGGAAGTTTATTTAGGGACAGAGAGAGTTAAATTTTTGAATGAGGTATTCTCTCCGTATTTAAGGGAGAATAGTTAGGGAAATGAATAATATAGAAAAAGTAGGAGAGAAGATTAAAAAGTATTCCGTAGGAAAGATGGGATAAAAAGTAAAAAAAAAGAAACATTGAGGGTAATTGAGTGTTTTTAAAGGAAAAACTTACCAAAAAGAGAAAGTGTATGAAACTTTTAAATACATTTCAAAATGGAATGTGTATGAAACTTTAAAATACGGAGAGGGTATAGAATATGACTCGTAGAATCTAAGGACTTTAATAGAAATCCATTAATTCAAAATGTGTAAATTATCGTAAAATTTATGAAAATTTGAGTACTAGTGATCGAGTTTTGATAATAAAAAAAAACTATCGATCCACAACTCAAATCTGAAAATAAATACTAAGTTTTTTTTGAATTAATGTTAATTAATTAATTATTTACAAAAATAATGCTGGAAAAAAAGTTATTACCGATCTACTGTTGGCCTTAACCATGGTCAGGGGTAAGTCACCCAACGGTTGGACGACTTATAAGTCGCCAAACGGTTTGGCGACTGATAAGTCGCCCAACCGTTAGGCGACTTACCCCTTGTATATGATTGAAGACCAGCAGGTACTGCCAGCCAGGCACGATTGTGCCTGCAAGGGTAAGCACGATCGTGCCTAATTCCGAAAACAGAATTTCAGCAGGTTTTTTGCCCCAGTTCAATTATTATTGCCTTAGGAATAATAATAATAATAACTCAATAGGAATAATGACAAAAATAAGATCTTTAATTTTTTATTAGATTAAAGTAGGACCAAATTTGGGGACAAAAAAAAATTGAAATCATATGAAGTGTCTAAAATGATCTAAAACTAATTCTTTTGTTGGTTTCGTTGGATCTGGATTCTGAGAGCAGGGAACTGTGGTGGCATTGATCTCCTTACTTCGAAGATTACCTCCGTGTCACCCCTCGCTGTCCAAGTCGCTGCTCTGCCTCGCTTCCAGGTTGATGCTCCGCCCTCTGTTCAAACTGCTATTGCGCCTCATTGTTCTAATCTTCTAGACTGTCGTCGGACACTCGCAATTGAAGCACTTGGTTAGGCTCCCATCGTAGTTAACCTCAAGGTGATCTTTCTTGAATTTTGAAAAAGTGCGTATCTATAGGAGTATCTTTCAAATCATTTCATTGGTTTTGATCATGGAAATTTCTTCCACTTGGTCATCTCTCCTCTTCCTTCAGTCACATTGTTGTGTAGGTGGGCTCGGTTTGAACCACTTTTCATGTCAGGACCTATAAAAACGGACCTCCGTATGGACCTCGACGTTTGGGACCCTTCCCGGTGGAATTTTTTTATGAAACTTTTTGGGCATGTTTTTCATGAAGTCTAGTTTATCCATACCAAATTTCAGCTAAAAATTCCATCGGGAAGGCAGTCAAATGATTTTCGGAAGTTAACTGCGCAGAGTATATATATCTAAACTATACACGTATACTCCTAAATCCTAATGCGCTTTTAAATAATAATAATAAGAATACTTATTTGACCCAATTAACTGATCTGGGTATCTGATTATCTCTTAAAAAAATAACATTAAAAGTATTTTCTATTTTAATATAAACTGGTTAAGCTTTAAAACATTACTTATTTCTCCACTTAAAATTATGGGAAATTATCATTGACCCCCCTGAAGTTTGATGCATTATCAATCACACCCCTATACTATAAAAAATATACTCTTACCCCCCTCTAGATCCTTTAATGATGGTTAAATAACTCTTAATCTATATTTAGAGAAAATTATAAATATAATTTCATAATTTTTCTATGAGTCTGCTTTTAATATTGTAATTCTATTCAGCCACAAATCTGGTCGGGTAATTAATAAATTTGTCCATATTAAAGACCTTTCTATTGGAAGTCGAACCAAATAAAAAAATGACCAAAACTGACCTTACTCTAGGTAGTTCGTTTTATGCATTTCAATTTGTAAAGTGAGTAAATTTACTCAATAGAAAATGATCAAGATATGCTAAATTTGACAAAAATTGAAACAAATGAACATAAATAAACCAAACCGACTCAAAAGTGAAGTTTCCTACTCGATTTAACCATTAAAAATTGAACGCAAGAAAATTCCCAATTTAGACACTCTTTGTTATCACTGAAAATCAGATCACTATATATAGGTATAATAATAACTTCTAGATTTAAATATTTGACAAAATATGAACACGTTTACATGTAAATTAAAATATTAGTACAGACATTATAGTTTAGGACGGGTTCCACACCCAAATTGGTTAGTGCTAAATAATTAGGGCGGCCCGTGGCCTTATCTTCAGTTCCAATCCCCTAATTGGTCTAGGTTCGATCCCAATATTTTTTTAATTATCTATATTTCTACTTTTAAATGGAATATAGCCCATTTTAAAGTGTTCTCAATGATTTTAATAAAAAAAATGAACAGGGTCAAAACATGGACTCCAATCCCGATCCCATAAAGTGAGGCCTGAGGCCTTTTTTTCACCGGTCTGGTCTCGATCCCGATCTAAAATTAAAAATAAAAAAGAAATAAAACTAATTTAAATATATAAATGTTTAAATTAATTTTTTAATGGTCATTTTACGTCTGAAAAGTTAATTGCAAATTTTTACCTAGTTACTAACATTTTATTTCAAACCACTAATGAAAGCGGTTAGTTAAAAAGCTAATTTAATCCGCTATTATCAATTTGCTGATTCAACCGAGTATGAGCTAGCAACAACTATTATCAAACACGGTCGTTAACATTTTTAGACCTCCACTTTTGATGACAAAATCAAAGTAAAAGGCAACAAATGTCAATTTCACAATACTTAAAATATGAAATGTCAGGAATTCTAAAGTCGAGGACAAAAGTTTATTACTTACAAAAAATTGACCAAAGTAAGCATTTCTAAAACAAATTTCCAATAGGTAACAATATAGTCTCCTAAAAGTCCTTCACCAACATCTGTTTTAGGTATAAAATAACTCTGCTCATTATTTGGCATTTTTCCCTCGTTACAAAAGTTTCACCAAGATTTCTACAATCTCAGATATATTTTCAAACTTTTAAAAGTATTAGAGATTTATTGTTTTAAGCTTGTACCTTTCGATTGTGTCTGCTACTAGTCCTATAATTTTACTCACATGTAGATGTAGTTATGCACCTAATAAATTTGTCAATAATAAGGATTATTTCATCATAAAGTACGCGTTCCCACGACAAAAGTATGTTCTGGTGGAAAGATTCTTAATACAGATAAATTTATTTATAATCAGATTAAATCTACAAGTGAGTAAATTTATAAAACTAAATTCATACTCTTGCTAAACGTAATTAAGAGTTAATACACTTTCATTAAAGGATAGGGAGGGGGTAACTGCATATTTTCAATAGTGCAGGGGCCTAAATGATAATACATGAAACCTCAAGGGAGGTTAATGATAATTTCCCTAAAATTATTAGAGCTTACCAGTCAATGTTACCTGCCAGAACAACACATGATCAAACAATAAATCAGATTATTCATAAAATAAACTTATTTAACTGACGAAATAAAATAAAAGATTAATGCAACTAGATCGCTAA